TTTTTTTTTTTTAAATTAAATAGGTGCATATTATTTTGCAGGGATAAGGGCGGTTGTTACACCTGATTCATCTGTGCTGACAGAGGAAAATGTAGAGAGCGTGTTGGATGAAGTTCGGCCTTATCTCATGGCAGATGGGGGTAATGTTGCGTTACATGAAATCGATGGAAATGTCGTGAGATTGAAATTGCAAGGAGCTTGTGGCTCTTGTCCTAGTTCTAGTATGACGATGAAAATGGGCATTGAACGTCGTCTAATGGAAAAGATCCCTGAAATTGTTGCTGTTGAAGCAATTTCAGATGAAGAGACAGGCCTTGAGCTAAATGAAGAAAACATTGAGAAGGTACAGTGTCGTCTAAAACTTTTCTTTTCGTGGTTAGACATCTGAATCATAATTTACCATTTTTCTTTCGGTAGTGTTTATACAATGCTGATATTTGATACATTATATGTGAACTATTTTTTCACCTCTATTCGTGGCTTAAAATCTATTGTTTGACATGAAATCTGCTTGTTATCGGCTAAATGTGTCTTGTCCAGATTCAAATGTGATATGAATGATTCAAGAAACCGGAAGGGAAATTTGGGACAAGACATTGTGCTTTGTGATATACTGTATTTTTAAGTTCCTGATTTAGCCAAAACTTGGAGCTTATAATTAGACACGGTTACACGCAAGGTTAAAAAAATGAAAATCATTTTCTTGAGCTTTTTCGTGTTCAGCCGTTCACGTGTTTGGTATGATGTCAGGAGCTTCTGGGATTGCCTCCTTGGCTTCTTGTCATTGTCGCCTTTTCTATCTTTGATATTCCACAAGTTCCCTAGTGGAGTTATGCATATCCTCAGTCTCTTAATTTGATACATATTTATGTAAAAACTGAGAAGCGGCAGATAACTTTGAATAACTCTAGCTATATGATTGCCCTACTTATGGTTTGTTGCTTATCATCAGGCAGCACACCTTCTACTTTGTGGTCAAGGCAGACCACTTACTACCTTTTTTATGGTATGCTCATTCTGGAATGGGCTTGTAAATATGACTGAGAAATAATTTTCTTCCTCATACTTATACGGTTTCACTATATATATCATTAAATTTAATATTAGGAGATTGAACAATTTGAGTGCCTAGATAGACGGAATGACCTTGGGTACCTTTCCTTGTACAGTTGTACATTTTCACCCTTTTTCTCTCTCATAACTCCTTTCACACCCTTGGATTCCACCTGCCATTTAGTTCTGTCTGAGCTATGGTAACCTCTAAAGTACAGAAGTAGCAATATCACTTTACTGTTAAATTGCCGTCTCAGAACGGCCTAAATTGATTAGTTTGTTCATCTTTGAATCACCTCGCCTTGGTCCTGGGAGTTGGACATGTAGAAGGTACTAGCCTATCTTCCTATTTTGAGTATATTTGTTAACAACTTAGCCAACACGTCTTAATTCTTGCCCGGCAATGGCGATCACGGCTGCTCTTACCTTCAAGAGCTCTGATTTTATCGTTTCTTGTTCTTATATTTTAAACAGCATTAATGCTAGATACATTTCTGTTCAAATCTATAGTTAACATCTTACTCACTGTAGAAAATGGGGTTATTCCTGATCCACTTGTAATTGCTTAGGTTCTTGAAGAAATAAGACCTTATCTAGTTGGAGCAGCCGGTGGGGATCTAGAGCTCGTGGGAATTGAGGACCCGATAGTCAAAGTACGGATTAGTGGGCCTGCAGCTGGTGTGATGACTGTCCGCGTAGCTGTTACTCAAAAACTTCGAGAAAAGATTCCAGCAATTGCGGCAGTTCAACTTATGTCGTAAAATATTGCTAGTCTACAGGCCCCTTCCGTTTCAAAAGGTTTTTGAGGGTGCAGACTCGGATACAAACTATCGTGCAGCAAGTGAATAGAACTTTTTAATGCAACTATAGGAACGAGTTGTACGGCTTGAGAAGAATGGGGTGAGGTGAGTCCATGTACCTACTGTTTGATGTATTTACTTGGCAAGACCTCGCTGTTTACATGTATATACAGTTTCTAATTACAGAATTTGATATTACTCTCTCTCTCTCTCTCTCT